GAGCCCTGGGACCACCTCCATCCTCACCCCCCCCCCACACTCCATGGGCATCCCTAGGCCGCGGGGTTTGTGTGCCCTGCTTTTCCACCCCTACCGTGACTCCCTCCCTTTCTCCTCCTATGTCTTTAAAGCAAAGCATCTTTTCTCTGACACTTGTTTATCCATCTATGAGCACTGAACCCCACCTCACTCAAGAATTTCACCTGACTCAGGGCCTCTCCCACAACCTTTTCAACCTTCTGGAATTCCATATTCCTTTCTCCCTGTCTTAGGTGGGTGTTGGGGAGACACTGGTGGTTTCTGATCAGGTAGCAATACTGTCAGTGCGCCTCTCAGTGGTCCCGGCCAGGGGTACTGGCTGACTGGGTGTGAGGGAGGCAGCGAGAACCCAAGAAAGGGCACCATATGGCCTGAAGCACAGAAAGAGCTCCATGTGTGGCTCAGATCTCTGATACTCCAACTCACACAGACCATCCGTGGTGAGGGGCCTCTTCTGAAGGGAAGCCAGGCTGAGCCCGGGGCCTGCACAGGGCGACTGAGGGATGCAGGACCTTCTTCCACCACAGGAAGCACCGGCTGAGCCCGCAGCATCGGGCCGGCCTGGTGCTGGGACCCAGCCACTGCTCCTTTTCCAGACTCTGCCCATTGGCGAGGTCTTGGTAGCAGGTTAACCTTAGTGTGGAAAAGGACATTCCAAGGACAGCTTCCGGACCCCTGATGTCAGCCAGTGGCCATCCTGCCTCTGACACCAGAGCTCTTGCCACAGTCTACCTGCTGGTAGCCTCGCAGCTGTTCGCCAGCCCGTGTGCATGGAGGTGCTGCCAGGGGAGGAGGCTTGAGCGGCTGCAGTGCCCACGGGCATGACCTGTGGGGAGGCCAAGGCCCCTTCCATCTGGGCCTCCCAGGCCAGCTCCTGGACAGCCGCTCCGTCCTGACAGTGGTACAGCCCCGTGGCGAGGAGAGCCAGCCCTGCGGCCTTTCGTGCCAAGCTCACAGGTCGAAACTTCAGGTGCCGCTGTTGGCGCAGGAGGCGCCTTGGCAGGCGCTGTGGAGCCTGACACACCGGCAGGGCTGGGTGGCATCTATGCCTGGCACCAGCCTGGGCCCTGCGGGCGACCCATGTGCGAGCGGCACACACATGGCCTCCTTTACCCCCAACCACCCGTGAGGTGGACTCTATTGTTACGGGGACACCGAGGAAAGTGAAGGTCATGTAACATGCTCAAGGACACGGGCAGCAAGCAGAGCCCAGGTGTGAGTCTCGCGGGGGGCGGGGGTGGGGGTGGGGCTCAGTCAGAGGGGGAGGCACCGCGTGGCTGCCGTTTCTGATGCTCTTGGCATATAGTTTTTAAATGAAGAAAACCCCATATGGTTACAAAAGCGGAGCTGTAATTTGACAATCAACACATTTGCAAAAGGACATGCTCCTGGGGATCTGGGACTCAGTGCTGCACTGTGGAGGGGGCGGTGGCAGTGCCGGGCACGGCAGGCTCAGCTTGAGGTCCATCAGGGTGACAGAGACCAAGCTGCCCCCGGGACTCCATGAAAGGCTCTTAAATCAGGCCCCCCTCCCCTCGCCCCAGGAACCAGGAGGGGCTGGCTCCCGCCCATCCCAGAGCCCCGCAGCTTGGAGCCAGGCGGGTGTCCCCGGTCCCTGCAGAGCAGTGGCCTCTGGCAGGAGGTGGGGAGGGTCTCACCTGCCAGACCCTCGCTCAGACGCCCCCTTTCTGTGCCCAGGACGGTGGTGTGCAACGACCCGGACATGACCCTGCCCCCCGTGGCCGTGCCGCCTGACACCTGCCGGCTGAGCCTG